GCCTGTGCCTCCATCTCCCGTGTCACTCAGGCCAGCCCTGGCCAGAGCAGTGCAGGTTTTCATCCTCAGGGCCCTCAGCGTGGCTGTTTGTAGGTTGTCGGCAGCTTCTGAAATGGTGTCCCCTGGTGCTACCTGGCCAGCTCCCCTGCATCGGCTGGGGCGGCACTTCCCCCAACAGGTGTGTGTGTTGGGGCATCTACCAATTACTCAGACAGGAAAAGGAATGAGGTGCCCCACACACGACCACACGGACGAGCCTCACAATGGAGAAGCGGACACAACCGCTGTGTGAATGGGATTGTGGGACTGTGTCTTGTGCAATTCCACGACCTGTCTAGAGCTGGGGAAGCCACGGACACTCCTTGAGTGTCTGTCGAGGGTTGAGGATGTGCTAGGCATTTGCATCACTCTGGGGGTGTGGGGTGCTGGGGGCTGATGAGTTCACTGAGCGCTGGCTAGGGGGTTCAGGATTACTCCGCAGGTGAGCGAGCCGAAGCCCTGTGCCCCCGGCCACCCTGCCCGGAGGTGGCACGGCTGGTCGGGATCCTCGGCTGAGCCTGGAGGTGGCACGGGTGGTCGGGATCCTCGGCTGAGCCTGGAGGTGGCACGGCTGGTCGGGATCCTTACCCTTGGCTGAGCAGCTCCAGCCTCGTCTCTCCACATGCTGAGTGTATCCACACGCAGTCTGCAAGACAAGGGCCCCCGAGGCAGCCAGCTGGGCCCTGCAGGGACAGGTGCTGGGCCTTGGAGCAGCTACCTCTAAGAGCGGCGGGCGTGGGTGTCCTCTCCAGCCACCTGGAGGAAGGGCTGTGACTGAATCCTTCTGCTGCCTGGTGTCCCTGAGATGGCCAGAGCGTGTGTCTGTTCAGAGGGGAGAGGCTCTGGCCGTCCGTGGGGCCAGGGGCCAGCAGCCGAGGCTCCTGGGAACTAAGCAGCCGTGTGAGCTGGCCTCCAGCACTGGCAGGACCCTCTGAGCTGTCTGATCTTGCAGACCCTGAAGTGAAGTGGCAGGGCCTGTGGGTCTCAAGACGAGTGACTTGACCCCTTGGTCCAGCGTGGAAGAGGAACGGAACCATCTTCCTTGGCTTGTGGGAAGCACTTGGAGGAAGTCCAGGGCCCACGGGAACCCACTGGCAGCGTCAGTCATTCCTGTTACCATGGTGATGACCATGCTTGGGCAGCTGAACATGTGCCTCCTCTTGGTACCCGTCCGGCACCTGTGGGTCACATGGGTCACTGCCTGCTATGGACAGTCACCTGGGGCAGGCTGGAGGCCATCCTGGGGTCTGGGGGGGGGAATTGGGCTCGTCCCTGGGGAGCCCTGGGCTTGTCCTGTGTCCTCTGTGCTGGCAGCAGGAGGACCAGGTTGGGGGCAGCAGAGGGAACGCGGGGCCCTCGTCCCCCATCCCCTTCCCCACGCCAGTCCTCACTCCGCCAGGCCCCTGCCACGTGGGTTTCAGGCCAGGATGAGCTGATGTTGATGTCACACATCCTCTTGCGCCGGGCAGCTGGCTGGGGGCTGTGGGCTGGACACCCTCCTGGCGGCTCTGAGCTGGGGGATTTCCTCAGTGCTGAGGCCCTCCGGACACGTGGCTGTGGGTGGGAGCAGCGCCGGCAACACAGAGAGGGGGAAGCCGTGCCGAGTGCCTGGCGGCTCTGCCTGTTATCTGTCTGGGGTGCCCTCACAAGAGGTTTGGGGCAGGAAGTGAGCCCCAGAAGCCTGTGCCCTTGACCGGCTGTGTGGGCTGAGCCCATGGCCTGGCAGCCCTGGTCGTGGTGCTCTTTGGGCCAGCGGCAAGCGACATTATTTGCTTCTTTGTTGGTTGGCATTTCTGTTCGCCCCGAGGACGAGGCCGGGGCAGGTGTCAGGCTACTGTCCGTGCACGCCCAGGCCCTCTGCTGCGTGTGCAGACAAGTCTGTGGCGAAGCACGAGAAATGCCGTCGGGAAATGACTGGGTTAGCAGGGGGGTGGGGAGGGTGTCCCAGCCCCCAGGGGCAGTGCACGGAACCCCCTAAGATGCCCCAGAGACTCATGTCTCCGGCTCTCGTCAAGCACATTGATTAGCACCCAAAACACCCGGGACAGGGGCAGTTGATGAGTTCTAAAAACAGCACGGCTGATGTGGCTGCAGCAGGGCAGGTGGGCACAGGAAGAAGTGTGGGGCATGTGTGGGCTTGAAGGCCTGTTCTGAGTACATCCAGGGACGAGGAGAGAGACGAGACCTGTCAGGAGGGAGGGGCTGGTTCAGGGGTGGTGTGGCCTGGCTGATCTTGAAGGCCTGAGAGTCAGACAAGGAGGTATGACTGCACGGGCTGGGGCGGGGCAGCGCCTGGCTCTGTCCCTGGACTGCTGATCAAGCGGTTCCTGGAGGCTGCTGGGGTCCCAGGCGGGGTTCACCATCTCATGCTGTGAGCCCGGTGAGCCTCTCCGGGCTCCAGTGGAGGGCTACACGAAGCAGGCACAGCTGGGGAAGAGCCGTGCAGACTCCCCGTGCCAACTGCGTCGGCAACACCCTCACCAGGACCTGTGAGGCAGGAACTCTATCGCCCCATTTTACAGAGGGGCAAACTGAGGCCCAGGCAAGTGAAAAAGTGGCAGAATCTTTCCAGATGCTCCAAATACAGGCAGCTTCCCAAAAGTGGAGCCCAAGCAGCCTCCACCCCCCGCCCCCAGCACCTGGTGGGTGTGCAGGAAGGGCTGGGGGGGAGGGGCCAGCGTCTGAGTCCCGTTGTCTGTGGACTAGAACTGCAGGGCTCTGATCTGCACAGCTGGGGGTGGGCCACCCGGCCTGCTGCATCCAGGCTTAGAGAAGGGAGGGGCTTCAAGCAGGCTTCCCCTTGGCTCTCACTGGGCTCCGGTGCTTTGCTGTGCTTTCCTTTGAGGTCCAGGGCGGTCCAGCTCCTGGCCCAGACCCTGGAAGCCCCAGTGGGGAGAATTCTCCTGGGGGGAGGGCTCCCAAATCTGCCTCTGGGGTGCCCCTCAGAGCCACCAGCTGGGGAGACTGGTGGGCAGCAGCTCTGTCCTCCTGACCTGGGCTGGCCTTTTGGGCCTGGGGTGACACCAGGGCCCCCTGGGCACCTGTCCATGTCTTCCTGCCCCTCCCCTGGGTGTCACCTCCCCTCTGGGAGCTGGGAGGAGGTGTCCTTGGATGCCCACACTATTTTTGGAGCTTGCGTAGATCCCGGTTCCCGGGGATGTGGGCTGTGACAGGTTCCAAAAGCAGACTCCACTTAGACATGTGCCCCCCCCCCAGCTCTGCACCAGGCCCACCAGAGCTGAGCACCGACCCTCACCACCATGGGCTTAGGGGACCCCCAGGGACCCTCACCCAGCCCTGTACTCTGCCTAGGAGGACCCCTGTCCCAGCAGAAGGAAGCAGTCCCCACAGCTCACCTAGGGTGGCCCCGGGGACAGCCAGGCTCAAGCCAACTTGGCCTGGGACTCTGGCCTTGAGCCCTGGGCCACCCCTTCTAAAGGGCACAGTGTCACTCTAAGGCCTCCTGTGCTTGGCAATAAAGCCTGCAGGAGACACAGGGAGAAGCCCGGGGACACAGATCCCGGCTGCCCCTTCTCACGGAGCCAGGCGCCCTGTTCCAGGTTACACAGCTCCGAAGGACCAGGGCTGGGGTCTGCATCCTGGCCAGGGAGGAACGCTGCTGAGTGTGTGTGTGCACACATGCACTTCCAGTACAATCTAACAAATACACCCGCGTGTGAAACCCGTGCCCCAGGCAGGGCCACATGGGGCACACTGTATCTACATACACAATGAGCTCACAGACCTGTATTTATACATGTGATACGTACATCTACTCATATCACACACACATATACGAACACATATCCACATGCATCTTATGCACACAGTGCATGTATTTTTGGCATATTACATGTATATGTGACACATGTATGTGTTGTGCACACATGTAAACATGTGCCTATGTGCATATATATAACACGGAGAAGGACACCTTTTTTTAAGATTTATTTGAAAGTCAGTTACAGAGAGAGAGAGAAACAGATCTTTCATCCACTGGTTCACTCCCCAGATAGCCACAATAGCCAGTACTGGTGCAGGCTGAAGCCAGGAGCCAGGATCTCCATCTGGGTCTCCCACGTGGGTGCAGCGGCCCAAACATTTGGGCCTTCTTCCACTGCTTTCTCAGGCACATTAGCAGGGAGCTGGATCGGAAGTGGAGCAGCCAGGACATGAACAGGTGCCCGTATGGGACGCTGGCACTGCAGGTGACAGCTTTATCCACTACTCCACAGTGCGGGCCCCGTAGGGCATCTTTTTAAACTGCCAGGCCAAATGCCTGCCCCACAGCCTGCTTAGTAAACAGCTTTATTGAGAGACAATGCTTATAATGTCCGACTCTCCCACGTGGGTGTGCAGCCCCGGTGCAACCGTCTCCACCATTCTCTTGAATCAACTGGACCGTGCTCATTAACCCCAGCCCTCTTAGTCCTCAGCACCCCGCACCCCAGGAGTTTGCTTCCTCTGCCCCTGCTGGACACTTCACAGACCAGGACTCCCAGTCTGTGGTCCCGGCCCAGCTTCTGCCACGGTGCTCCCAGCGTCCCAGGCGCCAGTGGGCTGTAGCCAACCTCGCTGTTTCCTTCCTGTGCCAGCACCAGGGTCAGTCCATGCAGTGGATGGACAGTTGGCTGTTTCCACTTTCCCGCTGATATGAGCGAGTCCTGGGCCCGCACCTGGGGACCGAACTGCGGGGTCCCGCGGTGGCCACTCCTGGAGCTGAGGGGTGGCCATGTGACTTTCCAAAGCCACTGCAGCCCGTGGCTCTCCCACCTGAGATTATGCGAGTTGGATTTTTCTGTGCCCTCGCCAGCACTTGGTGCTGCTTGACCCTCCCAGGGGGAAAACGCCAGGGGACAGGCGAAAGGCTCCGGCCCCGGCATCCCGGCTCTCAGAGCTGTCCGCTGCCGTCCTGTCTCGGGCCCTTTGGCCTCACTCTCCCCCTTCCCCCCACCCCGCAGGCCTACGAGAAGCGCTTCCCCACCTGCCCGCAGATCCCCGTCTTCCTGGGCAGCGAGGTTCTACGCGAGTCCCACAGCGCCGACGGCGCGGTGCACGTGGTGGAGCGGAGCTGCCGGCTGCGCGTGGACGCCCCGCGCCTGCTGCGGAAGGTGGGCGACGGGGGCCGGGGCTGGGGCGGGGCCGCCCGTGAGACTCGCGCCCCCATCACGCGCGTCCTCCCCGGCCCTGCCTGCAGATCGCAGGCGTAGAGCACGTGGTCTTCGTGCAGAGGAACGTGCTGAACTGGAGGGAGCGGTCTCTCCTCATCGAGGCGCACAACGAGACGTTCGCCAGCCGCGTGGTGGTCCAGGAGAACTGCAGCTACACGGTGCGCCGCGTCCACCCGCGCCTGCCGCGTCCACCCGCGCCGCGCACCTGAGCCCTCCTCGCAGCGCCCACCTGCGCCCTCCCCGCCAGCCTCGCCCGTCCACCTGCTCCCGCCCCGCCAGCCTTCACTGCGCACCTGAACCCGCTTCGCCAGCCTCGCCTGCCCGCCTGCGCCCCGCACACCTGCACTGCGCACCTGAACCCGCCCCACCAGCCTGGCCCGCCCGCCTGCCCACTCCCCCGCCTGCGCCTCCCGCCTGTCCTCTCCTATAGGGCCTGGCCGCAGAAGCCTCAGGGTGCGCAGTTGAGTTTGCGGCTTTTTCGCATGTGGTTGTGCTTCAAACACTGGACTGTGTGTTGTTTATCTGAAATTCAGCCGTGAGTGGATGTCCTATGTCTTATCTGCTGAGCCTGCAACTCTGTCTCCCTCTCCCTTTTCCATCTCTCCTTTCCTTCCTCTTTCCTCGTCTGTAAAACGGATTACTGCGTCGGTTGTGCTGAGGCCTGAGACCAGTCCATCCTACCTGTTCTCTCCCTACTGTGTGCCAGGCGCCCTGCTAAGCGCCATCCCCCCCAGCTGGGGCGCCGCCTGCCCATCCCCCGCTCTGGGAGAGCCTCCACCTCGAAGGAAGACAAGGAGGATAGAAAACAGATCCGTGCACACCCCTTGGGCAGGCTGGGAGAGGAGGGAGAGGCGGGGTCTCAGTCTCCGGCCCCCTTGGAAGCTGCAGGCAGGGCTGCGGGCACACAGTTCTGGGTGGAAACAGCGCTGGTGGACTTGGGTCTGCGTTTGCTGTGGATAGAGCAGTCCGCCCAACTCCTTGCCCAGTGACTCGGGCCAGCGCTTCCTCCTCCCTCGGGGCACATCCTCTGTTTTGGGAGAATTCTGGGATCCTGGGAAGATCCCGTGATGCCCTTGGTACAGCCCTTAGCACATGCTGGATCTCACGTGGTGGCTCCGTAGTGGTCACTCCAGCGTGGTCATGGACTCTGAGCCTCTGCCAAGCCTTCCCCCATGAAGAGAGCTGCCTGGTTCACCCTCGGGTTCTGGCACTTAGCCTGGTGCTGCATATACAGCTAGCGTCCAGTGGGGCCAGGGAGGCACGGACAGCGGCTGGGTGCACCCCTCCACTGAGGCTGCTGGGGGAATGTGGGTTCCCTGGCCCCAGACAGAAGTGTCCAGGGCCCGGTCCACGGATCTGTATAGTTAATGCACTCCCTGGATAAAGGTTTATTTATTTTTAACAATTTGTTTATTTACTAGAAAGGCAGAATTTGAAAGAGAGAGGTCTTCCATCTTCTGGTTCAATCCCCAAATGGCCACAATGGCTGGGGCTGGGCCAGGCCCACGCCAGGAGCCAGGAGCTTCATCCAGGTCCCCCACGTGGGTGCAGGCCCCAAGCACTTGGGCCATCTTTTGCTGCTCTACCAGGTGCAGCAGCAGGGAGCTGGACCGGAAGTGGAGCAGCCGCCCATATGGGATACCAGCATTGTAGGCATCAGTTCTACTGCTCTGCCACAGCGCCGGCCCCATTCCTGGCAGATTAGACGTTGCCTGCTCCTTTGGTCAGGACTGCCCTGGTTCTGCTGCCCCCTCTGGTGTGGCCCAGGTCCCCAGGAGCGCATCAGGGGAGGGTACGTCCCCCGCCCCCCCCCCCGCCATGCCTGTCGAGGCCTTGGCATTGCCTGTGCCCGGATTTCAGGTCCACCCCGAGAATGAAGACTGGACCTGCTTCGAGCAGTGTGCCTCGCTGGACATCCGGTCCTTCTTTGGTTTTGAGAATGCCCTGGAGAAACTGGCCATGAAGCAGTACACTGCCAACGTCACCAGGGTAAAGCTTGGGTTAGGGTTTTGGGGGTCAGAGTTCATCACAGGAGGAGGTGCACAGATCCGCTGTGCCACCTGACAACCCAACCCTTGTGATGACCATGGGCAAGATCCCCAGTTTCCTGGGCCGTAGTCTCCTCCCCTCTATTCGAGGGATGACCACGTGAGATGGGGCTGGGGGCTGTGAGCCCAGTGACAGAGGACGCACATTCTGCTGTGCCGTCCAGACCTCAGAGCCCTGAAATGCAGTTCACCATCTCTTCTGTTCCACGTGCTGTCAGCAGAGCTCACCATGGGGCTGGGTTTCGTCCTGCCTTTTGTACCAAGTCTTGGGAATGGGTGGCTCATTCCACCCATACCAGCCACACCCAGCCAGTTGTCAGGCTGGGCCAGAGCTGGCCGGAGCACCCCTGCACCTGTGGTGACGCCACTGTCCCACCAGGCTGATGCGTCTGCGTCTCTCCGGCTTGCAGGGCAAGGAGGTGATTGAGCACTACCTGCATGAGCTCATCGCCCAGGGCACCTCTCACATCCCCCGATGGACGCCTGCCCTGGTCTGCGAGCCGGACACCCCCAGCCAGCCTGGCCCACAAGACCCTGGTACCCAAGAGGCTGGTGGGCCCAGCGTTGCCCCGCCCCCCGCTCCAGAGACTGTGGGTGCTGATGGTAGGTATTGCAGCCAGGGCCAGCTGGGCAGGCTCACACCCTTGAGGGTGCCATGGTCTGGGGGAGCTGCAGGCCAATACTACAGGGCCCCTGGGGGAGGCACCGGGGCTCGGAATGGCTCTGCCTCCTCCCTCCCAGCCCCTTGTCCCCCTGCATTCTGGCCCTGGAGCGACTGGTTTATTTCTAGATCAGGAATTGAGCTTGCGAGGCTTGGCACTGCCTTCTCTCTGCTTCTATTACTATTTTTAATGATGTGACTAATGCGTGGTCACGGCAGGGAAAAATTCAAACCGCTTGGAAAATGCAAGTCAGTGGTAGGTCCCTTGCTCTCCCTGGGTGCCAGTGGTTGGGTTTCTATTTCCTGAAGCTGGCTAGGTGTATACACAGCATGCCTGTGTGTGCACACACACGTGCACATGACGCATGCATGTCTCACACTGAGCGGAGAGCACGTGCCGGCTGTCTGTGACTCCTTGCACTTTCTCACTCCAGCAGCTTTCTGTGTGTATCCATGTTTGTGCCTTTTAATCCTTCCTAGTATGTGGTTGCACCATAGCTAGTTTATTCATAAATGATTTTTAATTAGTCTATTTAGGTAGTTCTCGTGGATGGACATGTAGGCTGTTTCAGATTCAAAAAACACGAATAACGTGGTATGTCTTTGTACTCAAGGGCTTTTTTTTTCAAATGTTTAGGAGTATGTGCAAGTGTGAAATTCTCAGAATGGAATTGTGGGCCGAAGGTCCCCACCTCAGTTTTGGTAGCTACCCCGACCAGGCCTCCGAGAGGTTGTCCTAACCAGCACTCCCACCGGGAGGTGTAACTGTGCTCTGGACTCTGCCCCTTGTTGACGGTGGTCGGTGGTTGGCTCTCTTGTCGTGAGCAAAGCAAGCCGAGCCCGCTTCCTGTCTCGAGGCTGCTTGTTCCTTCTCTGCTGACCCCCTGCCCTTGCTTTTGTCCATCTTCCTGCTTGCCCCATTGATTTCTTCTTGGTTTGTGAGAGCTGTTTGTATATTAAGGCATTCAGTCCTTTGTCATAGTTCACGTTTTTATTGACCTGGAAAATGTTCACAATATTATGCTAGCAGGGGGAAAAAAAAACAGAATTGTGGGAACTGCCTGAGTCCAGTTTTAGCCCCGTGTGTGACACGGGTGGCCCTGGATTCAGCTTCTCCTGTGGGCCACTGAGGTGCGGGGACTTGCATGACTCAGGGACACTCGAGGGACAGCAGGGTGACTATGGTGCACCTGGGCCTGTGCACGCCGTGTGCCTCGCTGCCTGCAGTGTTCTGCTGCTGCTCTTGACAGCGGTCTCCATCTCTCTCTCTCTCTCTCTCTCCCTCCCTCCCTCCCTCTCCCTCTCTCCCTCCCTCCCTCCCTCCCTCTCACCTCCCCCCCTTCCTGTGCTGTCTGTGGCTCTGGCCCTGGGCCTTTCCTGTCCTGCCCAGGCCTTTTCTCCCCAGCCCGCGGGTGGGAGGAAATGTCACGCCCCACCTCCTGTTCTCAGTCACTGGGCCTTTGTGCTGAGCAGTGGACGGGCCCTGGCATCTGCGGGGGCAGGGGGTGCGGGAGCTCCGGCTTTCTCCCCACCCTGCACCGCGCCATCTCCAGTGTCTGCACCTGTGGCCCTGAGGCTCTGCGCGGTCGGGATGGCTCCCCTCTTACCCCACTCCTGCCCCAGCACAGCTGTGGGACCCAGCCCTGGGCTTGCGTTTCAGGAGCCACTGTGTGCTGTGGTTGGATGTGCAGTGTTCACTTTGCTTTCTTATTGAGCCAGCTGTGCCCGTGGGGCGGCAGCTCTGTGACGTCTGTGCCCGGGGCTGAGACGTCCAGAGGACGCAGGGCCCCATCGTCTGCTGTTAGGAGTCAGGCAACAGGACTCGGCCAGGGTGGCCTCTGCATGCTGGCAACACACAGCCCAGTGTGGCTGTGTGAGTTGGGACTGCATGATGGAGTGGCCTAGACAAGATGGCCCAGGTGTCTCTTGGGGCCCAGGCTCTGCACCGAGAGCCTGACACCCACAGAGCAAACTGGGGGGATGGGAAAGGAACTGGAATGGACGTCCTGCTGGGTGCCCCCTGTGCACCTGCTCAGTCAGGCTATCCACTCTCTTATCCGCAGGGTCTTTCTCTTTTTTAGGATTTATTTATTTACTTGAAAGGCAGAGTGACGCAGAGAGAGAGATCCTCCATCTGCTGGTTCACTTCGCAGATGGCTGTGATGGCCAGGGCTGGGCCAGGCTGAAGCCAGGAGCCAGGGACTCCATCCCGGTCTCCCCCGTGTGTGCAGGGGCCCAAGCACTTGGGCCATCCTCTGCTGCTTTCCCAGGCCATAGCAGGGAGCTGGTTGGAAGTGGAGCAGCCAGGACTTGAACTGGTGCTCAGACATGGCATGCCACCATCACAGGGGTGGCTTAACCCCTGGCCTCAGGTGTGTCCTCTCTAAAGTGGGGAGATTGCTGATGCCGACCTCAGGGGCGCTGGGACAGCCCGAGACCAGGCGTGTGGGGAGCATGGGTGCTGGGACAGACCCCTTGAGACCAGGCATGTGGGGAGCATGGGTGCTGGGACATCCCCCTGTGACCAGGGGTGTGGGGAGCATGGGTGCTGGGACAGACCCCTGAGACCAGGCGTGTGGGGAGCATGGGTGCTGGGACAGCCCATGCCCAGGCGTGTGGGGAGCATGGGTGCTAGGACAGCCCCCCGAGACCAGGCGTGTGGAGAGCATGGGCGCTGGGACAGCCCCAGACCAGGCGTGTTGTGAGCATGGGTGCTAGGACAGCCCCCAAGACCAGGCGTGTGGGGAACATGGGTGCTGGGACAGCCCCCCGAGACCAGACTTGGGGCCACCATGGGCACTGGGACAGTCCCCGAGACCAGGTGTGTGGCCAGCATAAACTGTTCATGATCTAGCCCTGCGCCCATACAGGGAGCCAAGAGAAGTCACAGCCCTCGTGAGTCCCAGGTTTCCCCTGGTGTGGGTGTTTACAGCCAGCCTGGAAAAGGGTTCAAAAAATGGATCGACTGGGGTCCATGTGGCTGTTGTCCAGAGAAGGGCCTCAGCCAGGCTCAGCCGAGCAGGCTGGAGCAAGGCCAGGGCTCCGGGAAGCATGTACGGCACAGCAGTCGGGCTATGTGGCCGTGGTCCTGACCCCCCTTCTCCCCCAAGGGCACGAGCTGGACGCCGACCACCTGGAGAGGCGCCTGGGCCGCCTCACCCCTGCGCAGGAGAGCTGCCTGCTCCGGCTGCGGCTCTGGCTGCAGGAGACCCACACGGGCAAGGTGCGTTCGGGGCCGCCTCACTCGGGGAGGGCGGGCTGATGCAGACGCGTTTAAGTATGGAGCACTCCGGAAGGGCCTGTGTGCTCGCTGGACGGTTCTGTCTCATGTCCAACGTGCCTGACAAGAGGAGCGCGGACAGCAGGGTGTTGCGGCCCTGGTACTGCTGACGGTAGGGCCAGATGGTTCTGTGTCGGGGACTGTCCTGCACAGCATGGACGGTCTAACGGCATCCCCAGCCACCTGCGGCCAGCCCAGCCCAGCCCTCCCCAGGTCAGGTTGGCCCCTGGCATGCCGATCGCATTGGGAGCCACGGTCGGGTAGTGCCGTATGCACAGTTATGTCCACTCCCTTAACGACTGCTGTGTGTACAAAGCTGTGCTTGCTACTTTAACGATAGCACTGTGTGCAGAAGCCATGCCTATGTTCCTTTCCTGACAGTGCCGTGTGCACGAAGTCATGCCCACGTTCTGATAGTGCCATGTGCAGAAGCCAAGCCACTGCACCGTTCTGGGTAGTGTAGCGTGTAGGAAGCCATTTCTTTAACAGTAGTGCCATGTGCACGAAGCCCCACCTGCACGCCTCTCCTGATAGTACCATGTGACCAGAGCGCCCCCCACCTCCTGATGGTGCCGAGTGCAGAAGCCATGCCTGCATCCCCCATCGTGATAGTGCCGTGTGCAGAGGCTACGCCCATACACCTCTCCTGATAGTGCTGAGTGCAGAAGCCCACCCACACGCCTCTCCTGGTGGTGCCAAGTGCAGAAGCCCCCCCCCCCCGCCCCCCGCCAGCACATCGCTCCTGATAGTGCCGAGTGCAAAAGCCCCACCCAAGCTCCTCTCTTGATGGGGCAAAGTGCAGAAGCCACGCCCACACACCTCTCCTGACGGTGCCGTGTGCAGAGGCTACGCCCACGCCCCTCTCCTGGTGGTGCAGAGTGCAGAAGCCACGCCCACACTCCCGCCCCGCCCGCACACCTGTCTTACAGGGCCGGGTGCAGAAGCCACGCCCACACTCGTCTCCCGCCCCGCCCGCACACCTGTCTCACAGGGCCGGGTGCAGAAGCCGCGCCCGAGCGCCTCTCCTGAGGTCTGAAGGCCCTGGTGGAGTCGTGTGCGACTGCGCACACTTGTGCCTCTGGACTCTCCCCGTGACCGGACGCACGAGGCACGTGCGGGCCCGAGCGTGGACTCGGTGTTCAGCTCTGTCGAAGGGCTGCTTTCCCGGCCTGAGCGGCTCCCGCCGGCGCCCTCGCTGCTCCCGCCGGCGCCCTCCGCCTGCGCCCTCGCCTGTGCCCATCCCGTCAGCGCACACCTCGGAGGCTGCCGAGGGCGCGCACCGCGGGGCGGCTCTTGCGGGCCTCTGGGAAGCCTCTGTCCCCAGGGAGCGCGCGTGGGTGGTCCCCGTGTGCTGCACCTGCCCCATGAGAGCTGCCCCGTGAAATGAGGGCTCCCCGAGGAGAGGGTGAGGGACCCCCGAGGTGGGGGCTCCCTGAGGAGAGGGCTCCCTGAGGTGGGGGCTTCCTGAGGTGGGGGCTCCCTGAGGAGAGGGTGAGGGACCCCCGAGGTGAGGGACATCCCTGAGGTGGGGGACCCCTGAGGTGGGGGCTCCCTGAGGAGAGGGTGAGGGACCCCCGAGGTGGGGGCTCCGTGAGGAGAGGGTGAGGGCTCCCTGAGGTGAGGGACATCCCTGAGGTGGGGGACCCCTGAGGTGGGGGACCCCTGAGGAGAGGGTTCCCTGAGGTGGGGGCTCGCTGAGGTGGGGGACCCCTGAGGTGGGGGCTCCCTGAGGTGAGGGACATCCCTGAGGTGGGGGCTCCCTGAGGTGAGGGACCCCTGAGTTGAGGGCTGCTCTGTGAGGTGATGTTGGCCCCTGAGGTGGGGGCTGCTCTGTGAGGTGAGGGGGCCTCCTAAGGTGAGGGTTGCCATGTGGGATGGGGCTGCCCCTGAGGTGAGGGACCCCTGAGGTGGGGGCTGCTCTGTGAGGTGACGTTGGTCCCTGAGGTGGGGGCACCCCTGAGGTGAGGTCAGCCTGAGGTGACGTTGGCCCCTGAGGTGGGGGCTGCTCTGTGAGGTGATGTTGGTTCCTGAGGTGGGGGCTGCCCTGGGGGTGTGTTTGATGGCTGGGGGCCTCATTCCCAAGGGCTGTTGCTGTGCCCCCCTTGCCTCTCAGATCCCCAAGGATGAGCACCTGCTCCGGTTCCTGCGGGCCCGTGACTTCCACCTGGACAAGGCCCGGGAGATGCTGTGCCAGTCCCTGAGCTGGCGGAAGCAGCACCAGGTGGATGTGCTCCTTGAGACCTGGAGGCCCCCTGCCCTCCTGCAGGAGTTTTACGCGGGGGGCTGGCACTACCAGGATGTCGGTGCGTGCCCCCCTCTGAGTGCAGAGCACTTTAAGCCACACGCTTCACACCAACCCTTATCTGAGGCTCTCGCGGGCCCCTGGGGTTGCGTTTGATGGACGGCAAGGCTATGGGGAAGGTGGAGCCCGAGCAGATGCGGGGTGGGGGGTCGCCACAAAAAAGGGGGTGTGTCCCCTGGGCAGGCCCGCCTCCTCTGGGTCACTGGGATGACTGCCCCTGGCTGTGGCCTCCGAGCTCCATCCTGACTTCTGTCCTCACACAACCTCCTCTGCCTGTCCCTGTGTGCACTTCTAAGTACCCAGGTTATTGGGTTCAGGGCCCTCCTTACCTCTAGTATGATTTCACCTCGAGATTCTTTTTTTTTTTTTTTTAAAGATTTATTTATTTATTTGAAGACAGAGTTAGAGAGTGGGAGAGAGAGGGAGACAGGTCTTCTATCTGCTGGTTCACTCCCCAGATGACTGCAATGGCTGGAGTTGTGCTGATCTGAAGCCAGGAGCTTCTTCCAGGTCTCCCACGCGGGTGCAGGGGCCCAAGGACTTGGCCATCTTCCACTGCTTTCCCAGGCCATAGCAGAGAGCTGGATCGGAAGTGGAGCAGCCGAGACTCGAACCGGCGCCCATATGGGATGCCGGCACTGCAGGCGGCGGCTTTACCTGCTATGCCACAGCACCAGCCCCTTGAGATTCTTAATAATGACACAGCAAAGGCTGCAAGTAGGATTGCGTTTTAAATTTAAAAGAATTTTAAAAACCTATTTATTTGAGAGGTACAGACACAAAGGGAAGACAGACAGATCTCCCATCTGCTGCTCGTTCCCCGCATCCCTGCAATGGCTAGGGATGGGCCAGTGGAAGCCAGGCTCTTGGAACTGCATCTGGGTCTCCCACATGGGTGACAGGGACCCAAGGACTTGGGCCATCTTCCGCTGCTTTCTCAGACGCCTTAGCAGGGAGCTGGATCGGAAGTGAGGCAGCCAGAACTCGTACGAGCACTCCAGTGTGGGATGCTGGCGTTGAGAGGAACTGCACACAAGCTGGCCCCTTTAAAAATTTTAGCTGAGCTGTTTATTTTAGCACAGTTTTGCGTTGATGGTACAGAGTCCCCACAGCCCCCAGAACCCCTCCCCCCACCGCAGGTCTCCCTGTGGTGGGGCTGCTTATTCGTCGCCCGCCTGTCACGCTGAGTGGCGGCAGCCCCTCCTGGAGGCAGCAGGGTGTCTGCGGGTGAACAGGGGCTGGGACTGGGTGTGTCCAGCCTGGCATCTTGCCTCTGAGAAGGCGAAGCTCTTGACTGCAGCTTTGTCCCCGCAATAACGTCCCCTCTCTCTTCTCGGCCCTGCCTTGAAGATGGCCGCCCGCTCTACATCCTGCGCCTGGGCCAGATGGACACCAAGGGCTTGATGAAGGCAGTGGGGGAGGAGGCGCTGCTGCAGCACGTGAGTCAGGCGCCCGTTGACCCACTCGGGAGGCCGGAGCGGGCAGCAGACGCCTGCAGCACTGTCCCTGCCTTCCAGGTTCTCTCCATCAACGAGGAGGCTCAGAAGCGATGCGAAAGGAACAGCAGACAGCTCGGCCGGCCCATCAGGCAAGGGCCTGGCGGGGGGCACTCACGGTGGGGCTCACCCCCTCTGCCAGGGCTCTGGTGAGAGACCTCACTGAGGCCCTCATCCCAGCTGCTCAGGGGCTGAGCTGGACTTGAAGTAGGCCCTGCCCTGCCCTGCCCTTTCTCCTGCTGCCTGGCCTCCTGGACATGGCCTTTGGGCCCAGCTCTCGGCCCCAGGTCCTAGCTGACTCAGTTTGCCAGCACAGCCCATCACCCCATCCCTCTCTGCCACCTCCGGTTGCTATTTGCGAGTTGTTTCCACAACCAGGACTTAAGCTGGTGTCACTCCCAAAGGCAGGGAGCCTCTCCGAGCTGCAGCTTCCCTCCTCTGTAGACTGGGTTTATTTTTAAAATGGATTATTCAAGACGACAACTGTGGAGCAGTGAGGACCCATTTGTAGCACGCACTGTGTGGCTTGTTCCCAAAGCTCCCGATCTTTGTGGAAATTCAGTTCCTTTGCCAATCAGCATGCAGTGGAATTCACCCTAGGTGTCCCAAAATGGGGGGGGGTCATGAAAGGTCCATGTAGGGTAGGAGGACATGTCCCAGCGCGAGAGGCCCCCCAGGGTGCAGCCATGCAGCAAGACAGCCGTTTTTCCAAGGAATTTGTCCTCATGGAACAGAGGCACAGAGAGGTTAACAACTTGGCCAAGGCCACGCAGCAAGTGTGGATTTGAGACCCTAGCTGCCTTACTGTGGGCGTGAGAGCTGTTGGCACCTGGACTCTATGGAGTCATTGGCATCTCTTTGGCAAGTCATGGCAATGCCTGGGTGTGTGTTGTGTGCCTGTCCCAGCAGAGAGTATGACGTCGACCACCTCAGTAATCCCAGTGCCCAGGCTTGAGGGAGGGGAGACTGTCACTACCATGGCCGCTGGCTCGTGCACACAGCTCTCGGGGTGGAAGTGAGACTTGAATTTCCGGGCTTAGCCGGTGGTCTTAGACAGAAGAGAGTCCTGTGTCTGGTGGCTCTTCCCGCAGCCCTGCCTCCCAGATTCTCCCCGTGTATCTCTGTTCCTGGGCACAGTGCCTGGGCCCTGGAGGTGGCAGAGCCAGGTGGAGCCAGGGCCGTGTCTGCCGCAGCTCCTGGACCTGCCTCCTGGACCTGGATGGGCTCAACATGCGGCACCTGTGGCGGCCGGGAGTGAAGGCGCTGCTGCGCATGATTGAGGTGGTGGAGGCCAACTACCCTGAGACCCTGGGCCGGCTGCTCATTGTGCGTGCGCCCCGCGTCTTCCCTGTGCTCTGGACGCTGGTGAGAGCAAGATTCGGCCCCTCCCGGGGAGGCCAAGATGGACAGGGCGGGGTGGTCCCTCTGCAATCTGCCCTGCCCTGCCCCGCCCCAAGGCCCCATTCTGTTTCCTTCAAGCAGCAGCTTTGCTGAGGTGAAACTCAGGTGGCCCGAGGTCGGCCCTTGTGCTGCACAGAACGCAACAATGTTCAGGCTGCTCACGGTGCTACATGGCTGTCTGCTTCCAGAATGTTCTCATCACCCCCAGAGGACACCCATAGCATTAGCAGCCGCCTCTTCCCTTTCCCCCAAGCTGCCTCTGTCTCTGCGGATTTGCCTGTAGGTTTCCTCCCTCTGAGTGGCACTGGGTGGCGGAGCTGTACTTTGTGTAGCTCTTGTCCTAGTCCCTTGCTGTAAGAGCCACACTCAGGATTGAGCAGGGGGCCTCACAGGTACCACCCCCAGGTGTCAGTGCCTTTGCTGCATTGGTGGTCCCTGCTGTGCTGAGTACCTCGGTCATTTCTCCCCTCAGACACTCACAACTATTTCCTTTGTGAGCTCCAGTGCTGGTCCTGGGGCTTCCCTGGGGGAATGGGGGTGACACACAGCTTGAAGCCCAGTGCTAAAATACATTCCCTCTGGGGTAAACAGAATGTTACATCTATCATTTATTTGTCTCTCAATCTATTTATCTATCCATCTATCTGTGTGTGTTTATTATTCTACGTGATTGTCTATCTATGTATGTATCTATATCTCTGTTCATCTATCTCTTTCTGTCTGTGTATTTATACATATATATATGTATATAGCCATCCATCCATGTATGTGTACATATATAATATATACAAAAAAAGGTCTTCAAAAGTTCATGGAAAATGCATGTCATGAAAAAATTATGCATAGATTGCAGAATTTTTTGCACCAAAATAAACTGTCTTTTAGTTCCATTTCCCATAAACTTTTTGGAGCACCCCTTAGTCACAGCAACACACCACAGTGGAATATTATTTGGCCTAAAAAGAGGAGTGAAGCCCTGACACTCGCTACAATGTGGGTCAACCCGTAGGACATGGCTTCGTTCAGGAAGTGTCCAGATATGTAAATGCAGAGACAGAGTGCAGACGGGTGCCTCACGCCCCACTGTGCAGTTGGTCTGATGGGAGACATGTCCCCCGGCACCCGCCTTCCTTCCCAGATCAGCCCCTTCATCAACGAGAACACCAGGCGCAAGTTCCTCGTCCACAGTGGCCGCGACTGCCAGGGTCCTGGCGGCCTGGTCGACTACCTGGACAGAGACGTGATCCCCGACTTCCTCGGCGGGGAGAGCCTGGTGAGGGTCTGGGTGTCCCCTGCGTGCTCACCCCTGAGGAGACCGCCCCAGAGCCTGGCGGCACCTCTCTGCAGTGGGGCCTGACCGTGGATCTTCCCAACATAGAAGTTTTCAGAACCCCAAAGACCAGGGCAGTCCAAGGCTTCCCGGTCCTGAATTCCCATCTAAGTGTGGTTGGAGTTCACCTACTCACCCTGTGGACTCTGTGGACTCTGTGGTCCCGCAGGACTGAGTCCCACAGCCGCCCGGCCTGGGACAATCAGGCCATGGCTCCAGGGAAAGGCAGTGTTCAGACCCTGTGACCGCCTCCCCCAAAGTGGACATGGCAGGCAGGGTGGCCTGAGGCGCTGCATTCCTGTCCCACGTGGCCGCTGTCTCGAGGGCACCTGTTGTGGAACAGAAGCGGCCTGGGAGGCTGGCTTGGTTTCAGGATAAAGAAGCCTTTCGTGGGTGCGAGGCTTGCTGCTGCCCCATTCGGGAGAGTGATTGACTTTTAGGAAATGGCCGCAGATCTGCGAGGGACTGAGCCAGGGCTTGAGCGGTCAGTTCTAGTTGCCTTTGGCCGTAAAAGCGGGTGATGGCTGAGGGTCCCCCGAGTCCTTTGATTTGGGGACTCTGAGGTTGGGTCAGCAACTGTGGTGTGGAAGGGGCCCAGTCCTAGGTGTCAGCCCAGTGCTGTTGTGAGGGACATGAGCCCGACAGATAGTGGTGTACACCATCTCAGCCACTTCCCGCTGTGTGACGCTGGGCAAGGCCTGGCTTCTCAGCCTGCTTCCCTGCTCTGTGAAGTGGGAAGAGTAGGCCTCACGGCAGCAGGGGGTTCATTGGGGGCAGTGGGGGTTCATTGGGGCTATGGGGGTTCATTGGGGAAGTGGGGGTTCATCAGGGCCATGTGGGGTTCATTGGGGCAGTGGGGGTTCATTGGGGCAGTGGGGGGGTTCGTCAGGGCAGTGTGGGGTTCACTGGGGAAGTGGGGGTTCATTGGGGATGTGGGGGTTCATTGGGGATGTGGGGGGTTCAGTTGGGCTGTTGCCTGAGGCGGCCGCCCAGCTCAATATGGGGGGCTGGGCTTTCAGAGCACCCTGTGTGGGTGCTGACTTGCCACCCTCCATCTTTCACCCCCAGTGCAATGTCCCTGAAGGAGGCCTGGTCCCCAAGTCCCTCTACCTGACGGAGGCGGAGCAGGAGCACACGGAGCAGCTGCGGCAGTGGAGTGAGACCTACCATTCAGCCAGCGTGCTCCGCGGGGCCCCTCACGAGGTGCAGGCCCGGCCTGAGGGTCCTTGGGGGCTGAGAGTCAGCTTAGGTCAGCCCGAGGCAGGGTTGTGGTGCCAGCAACTTGCTACCAGGGAAGCCTGGGAGGAGGGCAGCAGGTGGCACAGGTGTGGGGAAGGCTCTGGACCAAGAAGCAGGTGCAACCCCTAGAGAGGCTGGGCATGCCCACCCCCCACCCCCCTGCAGGAGGTTCACAGGGAGGTGGGTCCAATGCCTTGAGCAGTTCTCAGGGGGCTGCTGGGAGCCCTAGGAGCCCCACCCCCGGTGTGGAAGGAGCGTGTTTCCGTGGGCAGCTACAGCCCTGCTGCGCCGTCTGGCCACTCCCAGCTCCTCCTTTCAGCTCGGTCTCCCTTGGCAGGTGGCGGTGGAGATTCCAGAAGGGGAGTCGGTCATCACCTGGGACTTCGACGTCCTGCGAGGTGACTTGGTGTTCAGCTTGTACCACACCAAGCAGATGCCCACACCAGGCCCCTGGGAGCCTGGGACCAGGGCCGGCGGGCCATTGATCAACAGGAGCTGGGTCCTGGGCACAGATTACAGCCGTGTGCAGGCTTCCCTCCTCTGCCGGGAAGGGGAGAGCATCCAGGTGGGATTCCCTGAGGCACTGATTCACACATCCCCTCGTACTGTGCGGGCCTGCGTGCCGGGCCCCTGGGACACAGCAGAGAAGCTGGACATGATTCTGGCTTCAAGGCCTCTGCAGAACAAATCCCCATCCCAGGTGGCTTCCAACAGCAGGGTCTGTCTCTCAGCTCAGGGGCCCCAAACCTGCAGTGAAGGGGTCGGCGCGGCCCCGCTCCCTTGGAAAGCTCCGAGGAAGAACCCATTCCTCTCCTGTCTCCTCGTTAGCACCTCCTGGAGATCCCTAGGGCTCCGTGGCTGGTAGTCAAAGGGCTCTAGCTCCGCCCTGTCCTCACACGGCTGCCTCTGTGCCCCTCTGTGGGTGTCCCTTCCCTCCCTCTGATATGGGCACTGTCCTGTATTGGGAGACCACCCCGAAGCCTTAGCTGCAAAGACTGTGTGCAAATGAGGTCACCCTGAAGTTCCAGGTGGACGGCACCCTGAGGGACACTTGCACCAGGAGTTTTGCAGTCAGTTCTCTGCAGGTGGGGTTCTGTCCAACAGTGGGGGCGTGGCAGGAAGTTTAAGTGGGAGGGGAGGTGCTGAGGTCCTGAGGTCTGTGGACAGAGGAGCGGCCCCGAGTCTCCTGGCACACTTGTCAGTTGCCAGGCCCACTCCAGGCGAGCTGGCTTCAAAGCTGTGAGCATGGAGCTAGGAGCCAGCTCCCTCCTCATCTAGTGATTTCCGCTACACACACTGGCCTCAGAGCTGAGCCAACAGAGCAGCTGTAGGGCTGGGAACAGAACTGGGGTATGGAACTGTGATAGGAACAGCCCTGCCCCTGCTGGCTCCCTTATTCTCCACGAGGCCAGTGCTGCAGGTGGAAATCACCCCCTGGCCCCAGAGCCCTGGCAGCCCTACAGATGTTCCTGAAGGTTCCACGGGAGGCCACCCAAGGCTGTCTTGCATGCCACGTAGCAGCCCTGCTCCCCATGGGACACCTTAGTCCCTCCTCAGGGTTGCTCTTGTAAGAGCCAACACTTCCTTGCCCTCCCGCCCCTCCATGCCCTCCCTGACACCCTGCGAGTCCCGCCATCCTCCTGTGTCCTATTTGCAGGCCCCATATGGCAGAACCAAAGCCCCACAGGATCCAGGTGTTAGGAGGCCATGGTCCCAGGGACATGGAGGTAGTAGCACTGATGGCTTTGGGGCCCTAGAGGATGGTTTGCTGGGAGTTGTAGAAGGGCCAGACCTGGTGACAGGAAGCCCACAGAGGCTCAGCCTGACCCCAGGAGGTCTCAGTACACAGGTGCTATGTTCCAGGGCTCTCACGTGACGCGGTGGCCGGGGGTCTACCTGCTCCAGTGGCAAGTGCACAACGCCCCCTGTGGCACAGCCTGCAGCCTCCCGGGAGTGGATGCTGCCCTGACCGCCCTGCACAGCCCCGGCCCCAGGTGCAAGCTCCTCTACTACTACGAGGTGCTCGCATCCGAGGACTTCAGGTAGGGAGGCCCAGGGCTCCCCTCAGGGAGTGGCCCCCACCACCTCTGGGCCTCGCTGCCTCCTGGCGTGGGTGCTGGGAACGGTGACCACTGGAGAACCACATGGGCTCCCGGGCTGTGGCCCTGCCTGCTGTGCTGGCTTCTCTGGGGGTGGGGTCCGACATGGACACTGCTAGAACCTTCCAGAGATTCAGATGAGCCCTCGGAGAGAAAGTGGGTGGCCCCCATGTCTCCACCCCCAACTGCAGCAGCAGCCCAACACCTGGCCTGATGGGGGAGATGGGAGTCCCTGATTTGGATCCACAGGGAATATTCTAGAATAGCCATTGCTGTCAAAGAGAGCAAAGTGTGGTGGGTGACATGCAAGGCTTACCTGCTGCTGTGTGACCTCGGGCAAGTCATTCACCTCTGAGCCTGGAATGTCCCGTCTGTTAAACAGGAGCCACTGGAGCCCCTGCCTTGTAGCGTTGTGGTGAGGGTGCATTGGTTGGGGGCTGCCCACTGCCACCTGGGTATACAGTAGGAGCTCAATAACAGACCTGAAGCAGGGGCTCTGGAGGCAGAGTTTCATCTTTTAGAGATGAATGGGATTTTGCGCCTTGCTTTGCGACAAGTCCCTGTTTTCATATGAAAACAGTGCTTATGTTCCTTTTTTTTTTTTTAAGTTTGCTTTTATTTGAAAGAGTTACAGAAAGAGAGGGACAGAGGTCTTCCATTTGCTGGTTCACTCCCCAGATGGCTGCAACAGCTGGGGCTGGGCCAAGGGCAAAGCCGGTAGCCAGGAGCTTCATCTTGGTCTCCCACGTGGGTGGCAGTGGCCCAAGCACTTGAGCCACCTTCCAGTGCTTTTCTCGGGCCATCAGTAGGGAGCTGGATTGGAAGTGGAGCAGCTGGGACACCAGCCAGTGCCAATATGGGATGCCAGTGTCACAGGCAGTGGTTTTACCAGCTGTGCCACAGTGCTGGTCCCAGTGCTCGAGTTCTTCACTGTGGGATTGAATTGAGGTTCCGGAGGGGCCGGATCTGGATCCCGAGTCCCAGGTGGAGCTCCAAGGACTGTGGGGCACGTGTGGCCTGGTGTGGACAGTGCTGGGCCTTGCAGCTTGCCGCGCCTAGGAGCCACCCTGCCGGAAGGATGATTTGGCCCTGGTCCTCCATGTGGGGTAATGGCTCAGTGCCTGGGGGCCTCTGAGGAATGGACAGGGGCACCTAAGGGCTGTTGTGCTGGGAGGGCAGCTTTGAGGCAGGACAGGCAGAGGCCAGAGGGGCGGGCTGGGTGCTGGGAGCCAACCTGTCTGGCCTGCTCAGCGGGGAGACTTGTCCTGCAGTGGCCTCCTGAGAAAACCAGTTCAAGGACGATTTCTTGGTCACTGTCAGTGGGCAGGCACTGGGCCAAGCAGCAGGGCATGTGATATACTGTGTGTGATCATGAACAATGATGGGCACAATGAGGGTCCAGCCTGGGACCAAGGCCCCACAGCCCAGAGGTGCTGGAGGCCTGGCACAGAGCACAGGGGCTGGCCTCGTGTGTGGGGCTGGGGGTCTCTAGGAAGTGACTGGGCTGTGTGCACCATTCACCCAGGGATCTTGCTAACCCGCACTCTGTGACTCCGCAGCCCTGGGGGCCGTGCCTGGGATTCTGGGCTCTAACGAGGCCCGCGCGCTGTGCTGTCCAGCAGAGGTAGCTGCTGGCCACCTGTAGCCATGTGCAGCGATGAGGAGAATGAGCACACAAGGACAGCGCTGTTGATCATGCACACCAGCCACACGTGGGCGTCCACAGCCTCCGTGGCCAGGGCTGACAGAGCTCGCATGAGTCTGGCACAAAGTTCTGGGGCTGGCGCTGCTCTGAGGTTTGCAGCAGGAATCACCCAGGCAGTGGGGGCTGGGAGGGGTGCTTGGCACCTGCAGAGGCAGGGTCGGAGGAGCTGGGAGGAGGCCTGTTTGCCTGCTGAGAGTGGGGGAGTGAGGATGAGACTGGGACTTCTGGGCCATGCTAGGGAAGGGAGGCCTGAGTGGGTGGTGCCAAGCCGGGCTCTGGGTGGGGAACTGGGAGTGAGGAGAAGGGGGTGCGCATTGCCACTGGCTACGGGGACCCAGCCCTGGGCTTCGCAGCACCAACAGCTTTCCCCCTGCCTGTGGGCCCTGGGCTGGGTCACCCCGGAATCTCATGTGTGTCACACCCTCCTGCCCAGGGGCTCCATTTCCAGCCTGGAATCCTGCACCAGCGGCTTCTCCCAGCTCAGTGCCGCCACCTGCTCCTCCTCCTCCGGCCAGTCCCACAGCAGCTCCCTGGTCTCCAGATAGCTGGGGGCTGTGGCTCACCTCTCCAGTACGGAAGTCTCCGGGATGAGAAGCCAGCCTGCCGCCAGGGCTGGAGCCCTGGGCCAAGACACTGCCCACCATGGGGGTGCGGCGTGGGCGGCAAGGACCCTGCTCCCGGCCCCTGTGCAATGCGAGCTTCCCACAGGGAAAGGCCAAGATGTGTCGATTGGCCACCTTTAGGGCTCCCCAGGTCTGGGCTCAGGCCTGGCTGTATTTCCCCAGGTCAGCTTCCTTCTCAGAGGACTTGCTGGCTGCCAATGGGAACCTCTTTCTCCCAGCGGTTCCAATCTAGCTCCCAGGATAGCCTCTTGGCAGGAACACCCCCCCCCCCCACTCACCAATCTGTCGCCAAGGGGGAAAGAAGACAGAGCAAGACCAGCGGGTGAGGAGATGCCGAGTTGGGAGGCCTGGGTGCGGAGATGCCGAGTTGGGAGGCCTGGGTGCGGGTCCAGCCTTGTTCTCTCTTGCACCTGGTGAGAGAGGCGGGGCCAGCTGCCCCAAGCCTGTCACTAGGGCTCCCAGTCTCCAAGGCCGAGATCTGAGGGAGGCTCTGATGGGCCCTGCACAGCCACACGCCCACTCCCTGACCGTCTGGACCCAGGAGCCGGCGTGCGATCAGCGTTCCCTCCATGGCTGGGGGAGCTGGGCAGCAGCACCCGCAGACACCCATGATGGCATCCGCTCTGGTTCTCCTCCTGCATGGAGGTCCCTGGAACCCCCCCGTGTGGCGTCATCAGTAGCCGTTTTGCTGTGGGAGTCTCGGAGTGAAAAACGACCCCTGCAAGGGGCTGCCTCACACTTGGCTTCACATACCCAGCCCCCGGCTTGGGCTTCTTTCCCCATCTACCTGTTGATCTGGCCAGGACGACCCAGAACAACGTGACTGGTGGTGGTTAGGAGCCTGTGTTTCACAGTGAGACCAGCGTTCAAGCCCCATCCTTCTGTCCACTAACAGTGGAGCCTCGAGCGTGTAACTCAACCCGTGCCTCAGTTTCCTCATCTATGAAATGGGGACAGCAGTGCCTACCTCACTGGGGTGAGTGCCCAGCGTACACAAAGAGTGCTCAATAAATGTGGGTGGTGGTTCCAGTCACGTAGTGTGGCTCACCCAGGAAACCGCCTTCCCCTGGGATGCAGGGTTCCGAGTACCCAGAGCACAGTGGCAGCGGGTACTAAGCCGGGTGCTTGCATTTCCTGCGTGAATCCGCTCATGTGAAAGAGCGTCTTTCTGGGCAGAATTTGCCCCAGCCGGAGCCTGAAACAAGGGGCGTGTGCGGTTGTTTATTTTCTTCCTGGCCTGCCTTCTCTGCAACGCCCTGCCTCCCTGGGAGATGGACTGTTCTAGGAGACCTTAACTCTCCAACACAGCCTGTGCGGTCACCTGTCTGCCTGACCCATGCCCCAGCCAGAGGCATTAAACCTTTCAGACCTCGTCCATTTCTGTCGTCAGTGTCCCAAGCCCTGGAGGTCTCCCTGGGCCCGGTCAGAAACTTCCTAAGCCGGAAGAGCATTCTCCAGGGGGCGGCATCACCCCCTCAGGGGCTGCATGTTCCACGCACAGGGTGCAGGTGGTGGGGCCGGCTTCCCACAGCCCCCACGGCCGGAGGTTTATTCTCTCACACCCTGGAGGCCAGAAGTCCGGAATCAGCATGCGCAGGGCCCGGCTCCGTCTGCGGGATCCTTCCCGGCAGCTCCAGGCGCCCCTTGGCTGGTAGCCACGTCGCTGCCGTCTCAGGTTCCATTTCCACAAGCTTCCCCCGCTGGGAGTCTCCTCTGACCAGACCCACTCACCCTAAACCCAGCGTGCTGGCATCCTGAGCTCGTATTTCCTAAGAAGGCTGTGTTCTGGGGTTCTGGAATCTTGGGAGTGGCCTCCTGGAGTCTACCTGCCAGGTGTCCAGGTGGCAGTGAGCGCCCTACAGGCTATTTTCCTACTTCTGGGAACCTGGTGCCCTGAAGCTCCATGTCCAAGGACAGCCAAGTCCTGACGCCACAGGGTGTGAGGGACCAGGGCCAGGGCACTGCGGCCCCCCGGGAGCTCTCGGCACACGGAGCAGGGTGCTGGCTGCCGTACAGGTCTGGGGCCTCTGAGACCCCCGCAGTTGGAACCAGAGGCCAGCAGGTATGGCTCCTGTATGTGGTGGCACTGGGGCGACCATCCACCCAGCTTCTGGGTCTTCCACCCAGCCCTGCCTTCCACATCTGATCCCACGGGGGAGACGGCCCCCTCCCACCCCCACACCATGTATTCACTTGTGCACCGTGGCTTTCTCGTGGCTTTCTCCTGAGGTGGGGCCGAGAAGGAACAGCCCTGGGGAGGAAGACAGTTCCTGAGCGGGCAAGGGCAGGGCCAGGCCTGCACTGGGGTCCCTGTTGACGTCTGTCTGGGCCGCGGTGCCTCCCTGGAGGCCTCCTGAGGCCTGCGCCAGAGTGGGCAAACACGCCCAGGGCTCCCTTGTGGCCCATTTCCTCCTCCTGGGTGCAGACGACCAGGTGGCAGTGACGCTGGCAGCCGCAGACGCCTTTGAGCAGGGCCTGGAAGGCAGGAGCCGGGCGTGGCTCCCAGGGAGGCCATTTCCCCTGCTGTCCCTTCAGTGCCCACCCGTCGACCCCAATGCCAGAACCCCACACAGAGCCCAGCAGCTGGCCGTGTCACCTCAGTGACTGCCCCATGCATAGAGTGCTTGGGTCTCGAGGCCAGGCTGCGGGTACTTCCAGTCCACAGTCTGCCTATGCTGGGGTCCAGATCACGACCAGGTCAGGGAGGGACCCTAGCACTGCCACGACCATGCATATCCCTGACGGGCTCACCTGCACTTGGCTCTTGTGTATTTGTATCATTAGTGTCCTCACCACAACCAAAATTAAGTGCTGGAATCGCCACCCCCAAACCCCCGACAGACTGCTTCAAGCTAACGCTGGGACTTGATGCAGCTGAATCCAGGGGCCTGACCCACATCCTCACTTCAGTTCCTCCCATGCTGACTCTCCAATCTCCATGCTGGAGGAGAGCTGATGCGCCCCCTCGTCCTGGTGGTCCACGCCATGGAAGTCCACAGTCCAGCAGTCCTTTCCTTCCTCCGCTTCCTGCAGTTTGCAGAGTGGGCTGTGACGGCGGCTCCCGGTCTGAGGCCCGCCCCCAGCCCATTCTCTGGAACCTGGTGGGAAGGCAGCCTGCCAGGCCACCTGGATGGAGAACAGGAGAGAGGGAGCACACGAGGGCAGCACGACTGGGCTCTCAGCCACTCACGATCACCGAGGGCTTCAAGAGGTAGGGGCTGCCACTGCTTCCTCCCTGACACTGGCCTCTGGCTGCCGGGGTGCCCTGGGCCTTGTGCAGGGCAGGCTGGAAGAACCAGGGCACTACTCTGCAGGTGCAGCCCACGAACCCCATGGTGGTCGAGTGCTGGCTGACCGACACCCTCTAGCGGGACAAGCGGGGTGCACGGTGGGTCCTGCACTCTTGTCCCCAGCAGCACTGAGCCCCTGCTGTCTACAGGCTGGATGTGTTCGATCCCAGACTGGGATCTAACTGCTCTTAGAACAGGGAAGCTGACTCTCGGGGACCCGACGTGTCTCGGGGGGCTGGCCTGGTGAGCTGCTTGATGGGACACAAAGCACAGGATATAAGGTCACACCCGTTCCCAGCTGCGGCCTTGCAGCTCGGAACTTGGCCTTTTCCCGGGACCTTCTCCACCGGCCAGCATCTTGGCGGAGGAGACACCGAGTGGAGCCGAGCTGCTGCTGTCCCAGAGCAGCTGGCCTGGCTGGCCCAGTAGCTGGTGGCAAGGCAGATCCCAGCCCAGAGTGGCAGAATCACCCAGCTGCCCCCAGAGTCACAAGCAGTAAATATTGTTTTTCACGAGACCGACGTGGTTTTAAGCTGCTAGGTTTTGCAGCGGTTGGTTAGGTAAGGATGGATAACTACTACGGCTGTGCCACGTTTGGGGCAGAAGATGGAAGTAAAGGATAAATGTAGGCGTGGGCTTTTGGCCCTAGTGGTTAAGATGCCCAAGGTCAAAGCTGGTGCTGTGGCATAGCAGATTAAGCCTCAGCCTGCGATGTCCGCATCCCACATAGGCGCCAGTTCAAGTCCCGGCTGCTCCATTTCCGATCCAGCTCCCTGCTAATGCACCTGGGAAAGCAGCAGCAGATGTCCCAAGTGCTTGGGCCCTGCACCCGCATGGGAGACCGGGGAGAATCTCTGGGCTCCTGACTTCAGCCTGCCCAGCCTCGGCCATTGCAGCCACTTGGGGAATGAACCAGCAGTTGGAAGATACCTCTCTCTCTCCCTCCTCTGTAACTCTGCCTTTCAAATAAATTAAAAAATATATATTAAAAAAAAAAAAAAGACGCCCAAGGTCTGTATGAGAGTGCGTGGGCTGGACTCCAGCCTCCCGCTGATGCGGACCCTGCAAGGAAGGCGGTGGCGACTGCTCAAGTACTTAGGGCCCTGCCGCTCAGGACGGGACCTGGATGGAGTTCCCACTCCTGGCTTCGGCCCTGGCTCCTCTGGGCTTGGGGATAAAGCCACAGGTGGAAGTTCTCTGTTCTGACACTCAAATAAATGAATAATAAGTAAAAATAATGCTTCAGAAAGAAAGATTCTGATCACTTTGCACAGTTTTTTTTGTAAAATGCATTTCATAATTTTTAAAGACCCTTTGTAGGCAAATTTCAACAAACTATTTTGTTTTACAAAAAAATAAATTTGGCAGGTGCTTGGCCCTAGTGGTCAGGACACTGCCTGCATCCCATATCAGAGTGCCCGGGTTTGGGTGCTGGCTCCACTCCCGATCCCAGCTCCCTGCTGAGGTGGTGAGCATGGCTCAAGTATTCAGGTCCCCGCGACCCGGGTAGGAGACCTACACGGGGCTGCCAGCTCCGGCCCCAGCCTGGCTCGGCTTTGGCTGAGGAGTGAGCTGGTGGGTGGGAGATCTGTGTCTTTCCTTTTCTCCTTCTGCCTTTCAAAAGTGAAACAACAAGCCCCTCATCTTCCAGTTTCACTTTCTGCTAACTTTTGCAGACTCTGGCAGAGGGCGGGCCCCTCCCCCAGGCTCCCTCCCACCAAGCTCTGAGCACAGAGTGAGCCGCAGCCACTTCCTGGTCCTTTGACGACCACAAGTGACAAATCCTGCAGTCACCAGGCTGGTGCGTCCCACAGGCAGGTGGGGCTGGGGTGCAGGCGGCCAGGCCGGAGGCGACTGCTGCTCCTGGGCTCCACCAAGCCCTGGCCTGGGTGACACTACAGCCAGGAGCTCTCTCTAAACAGAAGCCAGAGATCTGGAGCTCCTGTTAAGCCCTGGGATTTCAAACGTGTGTGAACAACTAAACTCCAAGAGCACGCAGCCTGGAGGCAGCAGGCGCCACGTGGGAACGAGCCCCGTACCCCTGCACACCGAGCCTGTGGCGCGCTGGACTCTACAAAGGACACCTAGGGGCTGGGCCGGCAGGCTGCGGGTTTCTCACCTGCAAACAGGTTAAACATGGACCCCCTGCTCCATCCTGGGAGAGCCCGAACTGGTGAGGGAGGACACAGACGCCACCTGCGGCTCCGCTTCTTATGCCCATTTATTCAAGTGATAGAAAACATCTCTCGGCAGTAGGACAGCAAAATAGAAGATCTGTAAACACGGTCGCTTCGTCCCCTGACCCTGTCCCTTCTCCCCAGACGCTTCCTGGGACGGGAAGCAGGAACTGGCTGCAGCGATCAGCTGGGGAGGGAGGCTCCTGGGACGCGCAGCCTGGACCCTTTCCACGTCCAGGGGCCGGCTGGGATCCAGCCTTCTGTCACGATTCCCTCACGGTTTCCGTCTCTCGGCGGCACGGCAGACGCCTGGCGGCAAACACAGGCAGGCAAGGAAGCAGGCGGGGGCTCCCTCTGGGGCGCGGCATCGCCAGGGCTGCAAGTGGCCCAGCAGGTGGGCGGCGAGGGGCCGGGGCCAGGCAGGGGCTGAGGCGCAGGTGCTGCTGGGGCCAAGGCCACCCAGATGGCGCAGGGCAGTGGCCCTGGAGCCGCCCCTGAAGACGCTGGGCTGCGTGGGCGCGAGCCCTGTGGACAGGCCATCAGCGAGGCTTGGCCAGGCTCAGTCCTTGAAGGGGCCGTGGGCATCCCCGGGCGGCTCCTTCTCGGCAGCCAGGAGCTCCCCGTTCATCTCCTGCAGCGGGTGGTACACGTAGTCCCCGTCCAGATGCCGGTTCCTCTCTGCCCTTGAGCCCAGCAGGAAGGACACGTTGGCCGCGGCGCTGACCAGCAGCAGGAAGACCAGGGCCAGGGTCAGGGCCAGCCAGGTGGTCCTGCGCAAGGGAGAAGCTTGACTTTGGTGGGGGCGGGGGTGGCACAGGGGGGCTTTCCTCGCTTCACCTGGAACAGGGGCAGTCACAGGTGCATGGCGGGGGGGTGCTGGGCCACGCAGTGGCCCTTCCTGGAGCAACAGGGGCCATCGCTGCGTGGGACCCCCCTCTGATATCTCGAGAAGCCACTAAAAGGTTTTTATGTGAGTGTCACTGATTTTCGATGTTGCTGATGCATTTAAAATCTCTGGGAACCGTGCGGCCTTGGCTTGCACCCTGCCCGCAGGGACTGCCGCCCGCAGAGGCTGGGCTCCTCTTCCCTAAGGGAGGAGCCAGCAGGGGACGAGGCCCAGGTATCCCCCTCTAGGGATTTCCTGGGACTACCAGCTGGCCCCAGGAATCGGCTGGGACTGTCCCATGCTGACACCACAACAAAATCTCCAGGTCAGCTGCCACTTCCCAGCCTTGCTTAGTCCTCAGGGGAGGGGACCCAGCTCGCACAGCGGCACCTACCCGGTGAAAAAGGAGAGTTCTCCTGCCCGCAGGGTGGCCTCGGCCGGCCACAGACACTGCTTCCCTGTAAGACAGCAGCACAGGCTGCAGAGGCTGGGGAGAAGTCCGCCCGCCCCAGCCCTGCCCCCGGCCTTAGGCGGGACCAATACCTGGGGAGACGCTGCAGTTGCCAGTCTGGGGGTCGCAGGGACACTGGCGCTCACACCGGCAAGGCCTCTGGCAGCCGGGCCCGTACCAGCCAAGGGGACACTCTGTGGAGAGGACACAAGTGGCCCAGGTGCACACAGAGCCTGGCTGGGGAGAAGCCCCCTGCCCCCTGTCCCCCCAAGGTCCACTCCTGGACGTGACCTTGACAGGAAACACTGCCTTTGCAGAGGTAACTAAAGGTCTCAAGACGCCAGCACCGGGATTTAGGGCGGGGCCCAGGGCCAGATGACCTGGGTCCCTACAAGAACAGAGAGGGAGACGGGCCCACACAGGGACACGGTGGGGGGGAGGGGAGGACGCAGCCCCAAGCCAGGAGCACCAGAGCAGCAGGGAAGGGGTTTCCCCGGGACCTTTTGGAGGGACCCTGGCCCCGCCGACACCTTCATTTCTGATTGTGGCCACCCAAAAGGTGAGGACAAGTTCCTGTGGTCTCAGTGCCTGCCGTGTGGACACCTGACACAGGAGGTGAGAGGGACCACAGCGGTGTCCACGGCAGCAGGCAGGCCGAGGGCAGCGGCCGAGAAGGGAGCTGAGGACGGCCTGTGGCCCTCACCTTCACTGCAGTTGGACCCTGTCCAGCCAGCGTCGCAGTGGCAGCCAGCTGCAGGACAAGAGCAAGGAGGCCGGGTGAGGGCCCAGGCAGGGCTGGGAGGTCGGGAGCCCCGCCCCCAGGCCCCTACTCACTCTCGGTGCAGAGCCCATGCTGGCTACAGTTGGAGGGGCCGCAGTCCAGCTGGCTGCAGGCGGGGCCCCGCCAGAAGAGGCCTGTGCACTGGCAGCGCCCGTCCACACAGGTCCCGTGGCCGCTGCAGTCCGGCGGCTGGCAGCGGGGCTCGTGCACACACACCACAGTCGACACGTGGCGGGGGCAGCGCCACATGCTGTCCTGGCTGTAGGGGGTGTGGTGCATGAGAGGCCACTGACTGGCCACGCCCACTTCCCACTGGAGTCCCAGGAGCTGCCTCTCCCCAGCCTCTCGCTCTCATCATGGCTCTCACCCCCGGAGCTTTGCACACACGGTGCCCACTGCCTGGAGTCCCTCCCACCCTCCATGCCCACGTCTGCATTCCTCAGATCCCACTTCTTGGCCCATGATTCTCGGGGTGCGGGGGAGTCCTTCCTGACCCACTGGCCCTCATTCACAGGCACACTCACAACAAAGACTGCAGCTCTTTCTACCACTCTTGAATGCCCAGGGCTGGACACACAGCGGGTGGTCCACACAGGAAGAATGGGACAGCGGGGGTGGGGGGAACAGAGCCGGACAGGGCCCTCACTGAGGGGGACACTGTGTTTACCAGTGATCTGACGGGTAACTGGCCAAGGCCCCGTCGAGCACAAACGTGGCAGAGCCGCCTCCATCCAGGTTGATGGCGTTGACCACGTCCTGTTTCAACAGGAACTCCGCCACGTCCCACAGGGTGACTCTGCAAGACAGCGGCACAGCTCAGCGTGGGCAGCCTTGCTTCAGCTCATGACTCTCAGTGGTGGGTGGTGCTACATTTCTAAATGCCCCCCCCAAAGATATCCCATCCTCCGCCCCGAAAGCCAAGAGCAGGCGTGATCACAGCTACGTGTGGCTCAGCCAGGGCTGCAGAGCTGGCGATGGCCGGGCTGGGAACAGATCCGAGGTCCGTCCTCGCTAAATGCCACAAGGGCTCGGCCAGGCCTGGGCCCCGGGGCCAGCACTCACCCGCGCTGTTCCGTCTGGCCGTCCGCGTGGAACAGCACCAGCTGCCCCTGCCGGTCGTGGCCCAGGGCTGTCCTGGCGGACATCACGTTCACAAATTTGCTGAAGGAACCTAAAGAGACGCAAGCTGGCTGAGCCCGGGTCTCCTGGGCTCCACCCCCGACTTCCAGCCCCCGGCCAGGCCACACGCACGCGACAGCCTCCTCGCTGGTCCCCTGCCTCCCCTCTGGAGACCAGGTGGCGCCAGCCTGCAAGTGGAAGCTGTCACACACACCACCTCCTGGTCGCCCCCACCCCGGATTCCTCTTTTCTCTTGCCATGGCCTGCTGCTTTCTGGCCTCAGCCCACCTCCTCAGTGAGGCCTTCCCTGACTACCCGGTTTAAAACAGCCTGAGCCTGTATCCCGATTCTGAGGCTTCCAGCCCAAGCACACTCTGCAGCCCTCCTGCGTCCGCAGCTCCTGTCCCCATCTGTCCCCTCCCTCAACACTGTCTCAGCCATCACGGATTCCCAGGAGCCACACAGTGCTGGGCACCAGGCAGCTTCCCGGTGACACACCCTGGAGCTGTCCTCCCCCACCCCGGCCCCGCCCTGCACCTGTCTCCTGGGTCCCATCGCACTCGGCGGCCTGGCTCTCGTTGATGTAGATGCTTCCGTTGCGGATCAGCCACACGACCCCGGACAGTAGCTGTACAAACGGATTCTCCGAGTCCTGCACCTCCTCCTCAGTCAGGTACCTGCCCCCGGGGAAAGCGAGCGGCTCACTCTCCAGCAGGGGCAGCCGGAGGTAGAGGGGCTCTTCCCTCCCCGCCCCCAGCCTGGTTTCTACATTGCTCCTCCAGCCCCCAGAACCTGCAGGGGCCTGGGCCTGGGTGCACCTGCTGTGCGCTGCTACCCTGCAGCCTCGCTGTTGGCAGAGCCAGGCCCCAGGACGGACACCAGGGGAACTACACCCACCTGACACCTGTCAAGGCCTCCTACCTGGCCTCCTTCTATTATTATTATTATTATTATTATT